GTAATACTAAATACAGACACCATCCAGAAGAAGGTATACTTAGAGTTTCTTTAACATTTTTTTGGTAAATGAAGTTCTTGAATACTAGTTTCTAGGCCACAGTTGGAATGCATTGCAAGGAACTAACAAGGTAACACATGCTTAAGATTGTTATTGTGGGATTAGACGTGTATCATTAGCTTAAGATAGTGTTAGGAATCTTATGTAGGTGTCAACTTCACAGCTAAAGCATTTCACATTGTCAAATGTTCACCCAAAGCTAACAAAGAGAAAAATAACAAAAACCAAGATTAGTTTTTTACCTAGAAACCCGAGAATTAGCAAAAATTAAATAAAAGAGGTATAAAACAGTGTTGCTTTTATGTTGTGACCAGTCTTATTCTACTTCATGTCTTCAATTGCATGAATCATTCGGTGTTTTCTTTCTTTGTTGTGTCATTTGTTTGTTCATTTCAAGAGAATTGAAGTTGCCATTACTTCCCTATGTGCTTGACACAATGCATTCTTTCATTAGTAATATGAACCTTGTTCTCTTCCTACAAAGCCGACGACACCTAGTAACATATCAAAAATAATAACTATTCTTTTTCTTTATTGAGACTGGGTACCTTATGAGTGGCCATATGTACATGGAATGGGGGAACCAAAAATTTTGTTCTGGGTGGGCATCCTAACTAAAAATTTTAATTTTTTTTCCTGCAATCAATAAAAGTAAAACAATATGGTTACATTATTATATTATATTTGATTATTAAATATTCATTAAATACAAAAGGGTCAAACATTGATATACATAGCGTATATAAACAAAAAAAAAGTGATTAATTGGAACCCCTCCCAAGAAATAGGCTAATTGTAATAATTTACAATTGAGCTTGATGAGTATTTATGCTTTAAAAGCTTTACTTGATAATTTCATTATCAATACCATTAAATTTTTTGTTCTATATATACACTCAAGCTATAAGTGATTTATTATTGAGCACTCATTTGATTGTGCAAGCAAATTTTCACAATATTCATAGCTTAAATAATTGCAAAATGAACTCCACATATCAAAAACTTACCTAAATATGTCTATAAGAAGAGATGAACAAAACCAACAAAAAATATATTTGTATGTCTACACATTTTTGTCTCTACTTCAGCAGATGATACATAAATTTATTATAAAAGCAAGATAGGGAATTGCCAACATTCATTAACTTGTTCAATTAACATCTTGTGAGCAGCGCACTATTGTTGTACCGAAAAAAATTGAACAACATTCTAATTGCTTACAACAAATCCAAGAAGACGACATGATTTGCAAGCTCTTAATCTCAAAATAGCAAAAGTTTGAGGAAGTGATATTCATTATATGTAGTATGATTTAATTTCGAATAACAAAGAAAAATAAAAATTACAAAATTCGTATGAATCAAATTCACATGGGGAAACAAGTGCCTTTTTAGAACATTACTACACTTTGAAAATGATTTTTTCAAAATCACTTCACTAGGTTGTAGTGAAAAATGTTAGGAATTTTTGTGGTGCCAATCCTAGTCAAACTTCATGAAAAAAAAATAGAGAAATTACTCTTCGCTAAAACACTCAAGCAAATTGTTAGATAGAACATGTGATTATCCTTAGAATGGTCAGAGCATTAAAACTTCTAGAGTATATGGGAAGGTTGTGCTACTAGGTATGCAGATTTTTTCTCCAAGTATGGTTAAGGGTAGAGACAGAGGATCGAAGCCTAATCATGATAATCTTTAGTGTAATGGATAATTACACTAAAGTGTGCACCTTCTTCATTGTGCATACAAGACTTAATAAGCAACTCTTGAAAAGGCCAGATAAGGCCTATCCATTATAGGAAAAATAGAAATTCTAGTCGTGCAGTCATGAACATAATAATTCCAAAATTTACTACCCACAAACCTAGAGTTAGAGCAAGTGCAAGTATACGAGAAGGAATTATCGTAAATTCAGAATGTTAAGAGGGAGAAAACTAAATAATTTGAACTGTTAGATCGATAAACAACAAGAATACGAGGGCCAAAACTTTAACAAACCAAACATAATTTTTTGGCTTTTGAAGCCTGGTGTTTTTTGGGAAGTTTTTGAAGCATGGTGTTGTTACTTCTACATTGAGAATTCAACTTATTGAAAATTCTACATGGAGAATGCTAAAGTTTCAATTTCTTTGGGGAGAGAGTACTATTTGTCAAGTCTTTGGAGCGAAGAGCTACATGTTCCTTTAAGTTAAAGAGAGAACCACAATGAACTAATTGTTGATTTTCATTATGCGATAAATTGTTGAATTCGTTACAAAAGGTAGAACTTTTCACAATAAAAGGATTTCAATGCAGTTTTTGCAACATATCCATCGCTTTTGGGACAACTTTTTTAGTTCCTTAAGAATAGTTCACTTTTTTATGACAAATTTTGCTTAGCAAAAATGAATATTTTCACTATTAGTTTTTTGTTTTTCGTTGCTTTAATGGTTATTTGCATCAAGTCATTGTAAAGCCTAGAAAATTTGTCATCTATATAGCGTATATTACTTCTTCAATAATGAATTTTGTTTTAACGAAGACTCCAATTTTATAAAGATGACTTCAAGTGTCACAGAGAACAAACAAAATGTTTTGTTCTAGATTTGTTCTCTTATAATGATATATAAATTTGTGAAATGAGTTGTCTCCTGGGACTCACAAATCCTTGTCGGAGGGGTACTATGGCTGTGTCGACCACGTGTCCAACACAACTAGAAGTATCTTGAATAGCGAATTCAGTCAAATATGACTAGGACATGACCAAGATACGATCATAATTTTTTGTTTAATCTCACGATTGTTAAGTATTAAGATGGGTGTAGGATTATTTATTTTATATTTGTGTTTTTTGTTATACGACTTATAGACTATAAATGTTACTAAATGTAATGATGTTTGATGAAAACAGTGGATACTTTTTTTGATTTGGTTTAGTTTTAATAAAATAATTAATATGTGCTAGGTTTTATTATTAATATTGTGAAAAAATATTCTTTGTTTTTAATATATTATAATTCTATTATTATTTAAAAAATATATAATATTGTTTAGATTAGTTGTACTCATGCCATATATTTTTAAATTTTGGCGCAGTCACATGTCCGTATCCGTGCTTTCTAGATTGGCTCTTATAAAAGGTTTTTTTTGGTTAAGGGTCTTTTTGACTTTGTGTATGTGTAATTCCTTTAGCTTAGAATGGACTTTCCTTGGTTAAATGACTTTTCTTAGTAGTATAGATGTACTTAGATTTAATTTCAAATGCAAATAGGTTAATTGCAAAAGTCAAGTAAATAAAATGTAGGTGAGAAAACGAGGGCCTCTTTACACCATTAATACCCATACAAAACCATTCTTTCTTACACTACTTCACTGGGTTGTAGTGAAATGTGTCCGGTATACTTGTGGTAGCAAACTCAGTAAAACCTTGTGAACAAGTACAAATAAATTAAGGTTAATAGCACTTTTGGTCTTTAAAGTATGTATTTTTTGTCAGTTTAGATCTCATCGTATCAATTTTGTCAATTTGATCCCTAAAGTATTCAATTCGTGTCATTTTAGTCCCTACATAGACATACCATTAAGTTTTTTGACGAAATAATAAATGTGATACCATCTAAAAAAATGACGCGTTGTCACTTCTGTCAAAAAACTTGATGGAATGTTTGATTAGGGACCAAAATGACATGAATTAAATATTTTAGGGACCAAAGTGACATGGATTGAATATTTTAGGGACCAAAAGAGCTATAAACCCTATAAAATTTTATTATATGAAAGGCTAAGTTAATTGTTGGATAAAGCAATTGATTATTTTGAGAATGGTAAAAGGATCAAAACTCCAAAGGTAAATGGGAAGGTTGTGCCACTATAGACATACAAATTCTTTCTCTGAGAAGGTGCGTAATAAATGGATGAGACAGAGAATCATTACCTAATTATTACTGTAATTGACAAATACAACAAAATGTGGACCTTCTTCGATGTGCATACAAGGCCAAATGAGGTATAACCATTACCGGGAAATAGAAATTCATGCCCTCCAAATGAAAACAATAAATAAAAGTAAAATTTGATATCCACTAGAGAGAATCCTACAAACGTAGCATTTCAGCAAGTGCAATAATATGGGAATTATTATAAATCCAGAACATCAAGAGGGAAAAAACCGACTAATGCCTCTACCATTAGACTGATAACAACGAATGTAAGAAAACGAAAACCTGAACAAAACCAAACCCTTGTTGTTCGGGTGTTAACACCTAGTGTTGTCATCCCTAAGTAGTAAAAAAGTCTAAAGAGAGAGCAAAAGTTTTAGTTGCTTTGAAAAAAGAGGGAGAGATTAACTATTGTCAACTATTTTAAACGAAGCATTATATAGTTTTTTAAGAGAGAGAGAGAGAGATAGTGAACTTACAATGGATTTGTTGTGTACGTTGCAAAAAGTTGAACTTTTTGTAATGATAGGTTTTCATGTTTAATTGTTCATAACATATCCATTGCTTCCGCAATTAATTTTGAGTTACTTGTGCTTAATTCACTTTTTTTTTTATGAGGGAATTAGTTCATTACCAAATTCAAAATTGTCAATGTGTTTTTTTTTTTGTCATTTTAAACCCAGAAAGTTTGTCGTCGTAAAGCGCATGTTACTTCTTCAGGTGGTTTTGTTTTAATTTAATACTACAATTTTAAAAATTTATTTTTCAATGTCATAGCAAACAAATATGTGGAATGAGTTAGCACTCATGAAAGTTTTCTTGGTCAAGGGACTCTTTGAGTTTTTGTAATTGTTTAGAGATAAAATAGGAAAACAAAAGATATCTTGGTTAATGGACTTTATTTGCAGGATAGATATACATGTTCATGTTAAGTCAGTCCGTGGGTTTGGTTATTCCTTTTCGCTAGAATTTTTTGACATTTTTTAGCACAAATAGGTTTTATATATTTGATTCGGTGACCCTTGGAAATTATTGACATCTGGTTCCTCCTAGGCACCAAGTTGCAGTACTTTGTATGTGTTTGAAAGTCTTAGTTTGACAAATTATAACAATTTTGTACTTCTTCACTGTATACTTCTGGTTGCAATGAGTGTTCTCGTAAATTTGATGATTTTCTTGGTAGGGTTTGGTAACCTTAATGATGCTACTGATGATGATGTTAGTGGAGGCCCATTGAAAACTTTGAAGGAAAATTGGAAAATGGGAGGAGTGTGTGGAGGTCTTGTCGTTGTCTTTGAAGAAGTAAGTTTGCTATTTTTTTGGATTTTGTGCCCTAAAAAATTTAAGAATTTTCACTTTGCACTCTAAAAGATTAAATCTTTTATATTGTACTCTCAATGTATTAAAAATGTTGTAATGTGGCCCTTCTGTTAGCTTCTGTTGCTAATTCCGTCAAAAATCACTCCATTGAAGTTGACAGAATGAGTAATGAAAATTAATAGAAGAGTCACATTACAAAACTTTTCATACATTGAGGATGCAATGTGAAAAATCTAATCTTTGAGATTGCAAAGAAAGAATTCTTAAATTTTTCAGGGTGCAATGTGCAATTTGTCCTTGGATATAAATCCCAAAATCGAATTCATATTGTATGCATCAAGAATTGAATTACAATAGTTGTGTATTACAAAACATATGATAATAGATCCCATGCTCCATCACACAGTCTTAGCACTCCAATAATTTTCAAAGAAAGAGCAAACTTATATCAAACAGTTTTATAATGCCTAGATTTGTGTCCCCATGTTTGTCTCAACTTTTTCATAATATAATATACATGGGTGGCGGAGAAGATTTGTTAAGGTTAAATATGTCATAATGACTTGAATTCCAACTGCAATCTCTACCACTCTCTCGTATATTTCCTGTGACTATGAGAAAGATAGAATATTATCAGGTGTGTTTGATTTGTATATGCCCCTCTAAGAGTGTTTAGCTTTAACTTGGGTGTTTTCCACTATAAAATGTTTTCCTTATGCTATGCATGTGTTTGAATTGTATGTATCTTGTTTAGTAATTTTCTAGTGGAACTATTCATCTTGTTAAGCAACTTTTATTTTGTTCTAGTGGTGTATCATGTAGAACTTTGAGATTGTGTGGGGTGGGACTATAATATAAAGCCTAAATTGTTCTAGAGGGAGATGAATAGATCTTTACTAAAATATGCATAAATTGAAATTTATTCAAGCCTAATTCAATTAATTTTCCTTACAAAAATTGCATGCATGGAAATGAAAAAAATCAAGCACAAGGACGCTACAAGAATTGCAACAGGTCAACTAACTCTCCCTGAATTGGTCATTACAGAATTGTCTTCTGGCTTTTATTGAATTTTTTTTGACTGAGGAACGTTTTTAATCACGCATCACTCACACCTCATATGACCAGTGCCAAGATTTAAACGTGAGTAAAATTGTAAACAGTCCAAAATACCTTAAGCTTGTAGACCAGTTAGTTTTTTTTTTTGTTTTTTTAAAGTTTATTGTTTTATTGATTTATGCTTGTAAGTATTAAACATGTATGATTGACCACGGAAGCATTTGTTGGGAATAAAGGTTCACAGCAGTTGTTTTATGTTCTTTTGTCTAAATGCATTGTGCAGATTATTGGGGTGCCAAAAGTCATGCTTGTAAGTTCTATCGGAAATTGTTGGCTGAGTATTGTCCTGACGAGGCATCTAAAACGTTTCCCAAGTATCATTCTGCCAAGACAGGGACCTTCTTAACTAGGTGGTTTCCTTTTTCGAAGCTGTAAATTGTGGTCGAGTACTAGCTAGAGACTGCTGTTGCTCTGGATAAGATGTTACTTAACTTAATGGAAACTTGCGTAATCAAGTGTTCTCTTGGTGGCATTGCATTGCGCGCAGCCATTGCTAATAGCATTAACAATTTTATTTGCAGTTCTTTATCATGTACAAATCGACGAGGTTCAGACATTTTGGTCTCTAAGTTTTAGGAGAAGAGTATTTTTGTCGGTATGATAAAATTTTGTCCTGTGATGATTATTCTCACCTTTCAATCAGTCTAGTATTGAGGTGCTGTTGTAGACTGAGAGGTACTTCTCGGAGATAAAAACTTATAGAAAAAGACGACGTTTTGATATGAGTCTGAGTCAAATTATAATGGGGAAACAAGGGGAATTAACAAGCAATGTTGTGGATTGGTGTTTTCCAAAAATGCAGTTGTAGTGGAGTAGCCAAGCATGAAGCATTTTAATTAGTGGCTGAAACTCGGACGGGTTTAGGAACAAAAAAGGGTCGGGTGGGAAGGACTCTGCAAATACTAGTTTATGTTTCTCCACATAGATTAGTAAACCTCAAAATCCTTAGGTAAGCCAGTCCTTTGCTACTAGCACATTAAATTTCAAAATGTTATCAGTCTTTCTATTTGTTATCAGTTTTGCTATATGCACATTAAATTTCAAAATGTTGAAAGCAATTTAGCAAGGCATACAACAGAATATCAATGCGATTTCGGCAATTTCTAATTGTCGAAAATTTTTCCCAATCTAAATTAACTCAACCAAATGTAAAATATATATATATATATATATATATATATATATATATATATATATTTTTTTTGGACCTAATTTAAAGATTTAATTTAATACACTTGTTAAATTAAAACTGAACTTATTTAACATTATAACGCACAAGTGCTGAATTTAGGTCCTTAATTAAGTTTCAAAAATTAGGTCCATATAGCATTGCTTTTAAGTATAATTAATTCAATTAAACCGAATTTCAATAACTTGTATCGGTTCTTGACTTGACCTTATGAAATAATGAAACAAATTTTTCACACTTGAGATAAATCCAGAGAAGATTTGAATAAAATCATATTCGAATCAATATTGAATTTACTCTAATCCTTTTTTTTTAATTCAATATAATAAAAATAGACTAAAGTTTAAATAATAACTTAAAAATAAAGTCAAATAAAAAAGATTCATAAGAAGTCCAGTAAAATATACTTTTATTCTTCGATATATGTGTGCAATGTCTCTTTGGTTCACAATATTTCAATTGTGTCTATTTGGTACCTAGGGTTTATAATTTATATCTACGTGATCTAATTTCAAACGTCCATTAGAAAATCCTTAATGTCTCTAGTCACGCACTAATCACTTGTGACCAAATATACACAAATTAAAAATTTTAGAAACCATATAAACACAAATTTAAGAACCACATGATTGGTGTGTAATCCAAACGTCATGTTTTGGATTAGACCATATAGATGTAAATTAAAAACCTCAAAGACCAAATAAATATAATTAAAAAATTAAGGACAAAATAAACCTTAAAAACATACTTTGTAGATTAAAAATGCATTTTACCCTATGAGATCTTAAAAAAAAAAAAAAAAAAAGGGATTTGCCTTATAAAAGTGGTAATATTTAGCTGCGAATTAACATGTAGACATTCAGAGCAAAAGCTAGAGAAGTATGGGTCATTAAATTGTTATGGGTCAGCACAAGGTAGAAAAGTATTTTGACCTTATTACTTCTTAAATGAATTTTAACACTACAATTGGCCCAATAAATTCAGGCTGCTTGAATGGGGCAATGTCTATATTATTATAAAGAACAATGTTATTGGGACATAATTTGGTGACATAATGAATTGTCACCAATGATATGATAATGAATTCATTTAATGCTACAATGGGACCTATCATTAAATACATTTCATTATCATTTCATTGGTGACAACTCATTATGTCCCTAAATTATGTCCCAATAACATTAGTGGGTGATTCTGTAACTGTGTCTGTCGTCTAATAATTTAGAAGTTTTAGGTTCAATCCTTTCGTATGTCCCTTAAAGGTTAGTCATTTTTATCTCTTTGGAAACACGCTCTAGACCAGTTTAAGTCACGGTAGCTAGTCGCTAAACTCAAAAGAGTAGTTGGTGCAAGTCTGAACACTCTGTAAAAAAAAAAAAAAAAAATCTTTTTAAAGGGGGTTGGAATGGTTTCTCTCCCCATTTTCTCAATTTATAAATTTTCTATTTATGTAAATTAAAAAAATATGTTTTATGACCCACCACTTGTTTCCCCTCTGATTGTATTAGATTATTATGTTACTATGGATTAAATTCAGTTTATTTACCAGGAAAAAAAAACTTTAACACTGCTTTCACTATTCCATGTTCTCAAACTTCTTATAAAACCACTGTTCACCTCCTAGAAGTTTTATCTAACTTTCCACTATATTTATTGTTTCTCATAATATTTCATTTCATCCAACTTTATATTTTGTGTAATGGTGATATCATATCATATCTTCTGTTAATTTTTTAAAATTTCTTAAAATATAAAATTGAGGAAGACCAAAAAAAAAAAGGATAAAAAATATCGATTTTGAGCATTGATGGATGAATCAATAACTTTGGTCTGGATTGTGGAGGGGAGCTCGCTGTTCGGATAGCAGTGCTCGAATATCATAGGATCCTCCACTTGGGTCAGGTAGGATATCTAGAAAAACCGGTCAAAGGAAAACTCTAAAATTTAGAAATGTTTCAAATTTGTTCTAATTAAATATAACTGCTTAAGGTATTTTGGACAATACAGACTGAATAAGGTTTTTTTTTGGGTCAGGAGACTGAATAAGGTTTAACCCAAAAAAAATTTCGACCTTTTTGTAAAATTAGAATAAAAAATTCTGCAGCCCAAATTTACAGAAGAGCCCAAAAATCCTGTTTCAATAAATCAAGCAAATGGATGGGCTACCATTCTGGACTGGAAGGAGGCGTCACATTCACTTTTTAATTTTCGAACAAATGGCCCACCCATCGTTCTATAAATAACGGCCTTCTCCACTCTCACTGAGTCACTCACACTAACATACACACAGTGAAAAACCGAGAGAATGACTATTGCCGGCCGCGGCGTTCTTCAAGTCTTGTTGTTGCGCGCCGCTGGCCGCCTGAAGGTCAAGATTAAACCCCCACCACCTTCAGTATCCTCCTATACTGAAGGTGAGATGTCAATTTTTATCCACCCAAACGACCTCCGTGACCTAAAAGCAGACCTACCTAACTTGTTGAGAAATGCCGATATAACTGCATTTCTGTCCCAGTTGGCATTGGCTCCTTCTACTGCAGAAACCGCTACAGTACCCATTGGAGCCACCCACCCCCTTCCGACCACGGGAGCTTCAAAAACAAAAAAGAAAATCGTTGACAAAATACTCTGGACAGATGAATCATCTGCCCTTACTCGTGAGACCCACGCGATGGTAAAGGAACTACACGTCCGTTTCTGCGGCTTGGGGTTGAAGACCAAACCGACAGGTAAGAACGGGAAGGACGAGAATGGTAATGAAGGTGAGGGCAAGAGTAACGGGGGAGATGGCAAGAGACATGGAGGAGAGGGCAACGGCAATGGCGATGACGGTAACGGTTCTTCTGCTGGCAATGGAGGCAATGGAGGGAGTGGAGGTCTGCTTGACCAGCTGGCAGAAATCTTGAAGGAGATGGGCGGAAGCGCTTGAAGCAAAGTGGGTAGTCTTATGTTTTTTGTTTTTTTTCAAAGTCTTAGGCGAGTTGGTTCATTTCTTTTGCACTCTTTTGCAATAGTAATGTAGAAATGGTTTTTGGATATTGTGGCCAGTGGGTATGAACTATGGAGTATGAATGAAGAACACAACATTTCTATATGTGTTTTTATATATGTTTTTTGGATTGGGAAGTTTCTTTATTATGTTTGGGGTAATGTTAAAGAACCGAAAGGATGATGTTGGTGAAATATTTTTATAGAGCTCCAGCCTCGTGGAGAAGATGAGTTGTTGGCGCGTGATGACAGACCGCGCGTCTTTCAACCATGTCTTTCTCTCCACCTGCTACACAATCAATGCCGGCACGTAGATTAAACGCGGTTCAATGCCGGCGCGTAAACAAAACGCGGTTCAATTCATCCACTGATCTTGACTTCTCGGTGTTGTCCAACACAGAACCCCCAAATTCTCGACATGGGTATTTATTATATTCTCCAAATAAATACACAGCCCACCCCATAATTGTCAGCCTCTCTCTCTTCTTCTCCTCTCCCAGAACCCAACAGTTCTCCAACCCATCTCCAAATAAACCTCTATTTCTCTCTCTTATTTTCCTCCCCACAAACCCTCGTCGTTCCCCTTTTCTCTATTTCTCCGCCGCTCACAGAATGCGTTACTCTACGTATTCAAACCTCTCTTTACGGCATGGCATCTCAACGTCTACCGCCCTTGCTTCTTCTGCCTGTGCGCATCAAACAGGTTCTTAATCTATAGACTATATCTATATTGTTTATATTCTTTGTATATTCAATGGTATTAGAGACTGAATTATTGACCCTCATAATCATACAATTTTGAAAAACCAAAAAGTTTGATAAGAAACTCTGAAATAGCCAGAGTCTAACATTTGTGGGCATATAATGTTAGGGTTTTAGTCTAATTTTTTTGGGCATCTAATATTAGGCTGGATCATATCCCACCAATTATTTCGAAAGTCTTAATGAGTATAACAGAATTGAATTTGTAATCAGGGCTGTGTTACGGAACACAAAGGATTGTGTGTGCCAATGCCGAACCACTATACCTTCTCTTTTTGGGGTAATTTCATTGTCTTTTTATTTGGTTATCGTCTAACCCTGTACCCTTTGCTCTCATTCAAATATTTGTTTATTCACGTAGTTATTGTTACCAAAGAAAGATGGTAAAAATAATGACAGCCTACCTC